TATACGCGCGCGTCGAGGAGCGCGAGGTTCGCTATAGCTTGCTCCTCGCCCTTGGCAGCGGCGCGCTCGAACCAGTATCTGGCTTTGCCGAAATCGACTTCCGTGCCTTCTCCGTGCCCGTAACACATGCCAAGGTTGGTCTCCCCAGCGGTTAAACCTTGATTCGCCGCGAGCGCGTAGTACCGGAACGCTTCTTCATGTTTCTCCTCAGAGGAAAGTAAAAGCCCTAAATTGTTTTGCGCATCCGCGTCGCCCCGGTCCGCAGCCATGCGAAACAGCCACGCCGCCTTCTTCTTGTCCAGCTTGACGCCACTTCCAAGCTCGTGCATTTCCCCCAGGAATACCATCGCGTCCACGTCGCCGAGCTCCACGGCGCGCCGGTAAATCTTCCCGGCTTTCTTATCGGATTTCACGAGGCTGAACCGACCGACACGGTACGCATTTCCCAAATGCGTAATCGCTTCTGGCACCTCGTTCTCCACATGGCGGCGAAGACGTGCGAGGTTTTCCGCGGTATTTTCTGGGCGCGGTATGCGACAGAGGGGACACGCTTTTTGGTCGATCTTGTCCTCGCACGATCGGCAGACCTTTCGGCAGCAACAGACGCGAAACACGCCCACAGTATTCACGTCCCACTCCTCGAGACAGATCGGGCACCGCGAGCCCCACCGCGCCGACAGCGGCTCCCGCTCCGGGTTCGCCTCCCGCAGGGCACGAGCCGCCTCGTGCTCCGCCGCGATGCGCGTGCGGATCTCGTCGGCGTGCGACCGCGGCGCGGGGCCGTAGAACACGTCCCGCGGCGGCGACGGCGGGGGCGTCGGCGCTTCCGCCCGCGCCGCCTCCGCGGCTTGGATCTTCTTGCAGACCTTCCGGTGGCCCCGGTCGCGCCAGTCGATGCGTTGGCAGTCCGTCGAACAGTAGGCCGTCGTGCCGCACCCTTTACAGGGCCGGGCGTCCTTCTTCCCGCAAATCGTGCATATGTTGAGCGCCAGCTTCGTACGGGTTTTTCGCGCCTCGTACTCTCGCTTCTTCTTGATCAATTCCGGGTCCATGATCTCTGACCGCGCGCGTCCTTGCGTCGCAAAGGCAAAATCGCTTCGCTGTTCTCTCCCCCTTCGGTTCTTCCCTGCGCCGCGGCTAAGCAAAATCGCTCAAAATCCGGGCTAATTAGCTAAGCCGACCCCTAGAGCATCGCGTTCATGTCGTTCTCCATGCCCCCCTCG